CTGTCATGTTTTGACATTTGACAAGTAGAAACTACGCCATTAATAAAAATGGAACGATACACGCTTCAACAACGCATTGAAATTATTAAAATTCACTATAAAAATGGTGAAAATTTGGCGGAGACGGTTCGTAAAACTCGAACATTTTTGGGTCGTCGTGAAGCACCTTGTCGGACCGCAATACAGAAATTGGTGGAAAAATTCGAGCTGTTGGGACAAGTTAGTGATGTGAAGAATAAAACCCGTGCACGTCGCTCAAGAACAGCCGAGAATATTGCTGCTGTAGCCGAAAGTGTTGAAGAAAACCCAGGTTTGTCCATTCCTCGTCGTTCTTTGGAATTACGCATTCCAAAAACGTCATTACACCGTATTTTGCATAAAGATTTGGGTCTTAAGGCCTATAAAGTTCAGTTAAAACAAGAACTCAAGCCGGCCGATCATCAACAACGTCGTGTCTTTGCCGATTGGGTCCTTGAAATGCATGAAAATGATCCGGAATTCCATCGAAAAATCATCTTGAGTGATGAGGCCCATTTTCACCTCGGTGGCTTCGTCAACAAGCAAAATTGTCGCATCTGGGGCTCGGAAAACCCAAGAGTTATTGTTGAAAACCCTCTCTATCCTCAACGTGTGACTGTTTGGTGCGGTTTATGGTCCGGCGGGGTCATTGGACCTTACTTTTTCGAAAATGAGGCTAGAGCACCAGTTACGGTGAATGGATTGCGCTATCGAGAGATGATTAATGATTTTTTATGGCCGGAATTGGATGGTATTGATCTGGACAACGTTTACTTTCAACAAGACGGCGCTACGTGCCACACAAGCAACGAAACCATTAATCTTTTACGGGAAAAGTTTCCGGACCGTGTTATCTCTCGGAGAGGTGATCACAATTGGCCACCGAGATCTTGTGATTTGACACCTTGCGACTTCTTCCTTTGGGGCCACGTGAAAGAGAAGGTCTACGCCAACAGCCCAGCGTCGATTCAAGACCTCAAAGATGGAATTCGTGAGGCTATCGAGGACATAGGGCAGCCACTTTGCGATTTGGTTATGGAAAATTTCATGAAAAGGATATGGTCCTGCAGGCGTGGTCGTGGTGGTCATTTGGCTGATGTTATTTTCCATTATTAACGGCATACCTTCCTCTTTATAATGAAATAAACCTCCGATCATTTATCTCAAAAAATGGCATTTTCCTTTGAATATCAAAATAACACCTCTTATTGGAAAACCCTTTAGTTTACATTACATTTTATTTTTCAAAGTGAAACAGTATATTTGTATACCTACTTTAGAATTGTAGCTCCTTAAAGAATATTGTGTTACGGTTTATTTTTAATTGTCCTAAATAAGAATATTTATTTACTTCCAATATTCTTTCCTTTATCTACAGTTAAATTTATTTTTCAGGTTATTAATATAACCATGTATGTGCGAATTTAATTCTTTACGCGAGTTTGTAAAGCTATCAATCAGCTGTTGGGTTCGTTGCTCGATATCAAAAATTTAATTCAAGGTACTTATATTGCCACCTTGGGTCAAGGTGCCTAATTAATAATTTCGGGCTGTCGATGTGTAGCATCGTTTGTGATTTTTAAATCTTTGATTTTTGGAATCATCCGTAATTGGGATTTTATTTTTAAATCACTAAAATTAAATTCGAATGTAGTAGTTTGTGCTGATGTCGATATTTTTATAATACCTCGAATTTTTACCTCTATATAAAGGGATTTGTAAATATCCACATCATCAATTCACTATGGCTGGTTAAAATTTATATTTTCCTAAAGGCTAGAACTGCCTCTGTGTAAGACTGGTATACCTAAGTATATCCCGTGTTGCGAGAAAATTTCTATTGGGACATTATGTACCGTTGCGTCCACCGCATTATCCGGAGCTGTGATCTATGTCAGCGTACTAAGAAACCAAATCGAAAGTTTATAGGACCACTCCAACCCATTTTACCAGTGGAAGCGGGAGAACTAGTAGCAGTTGACTATTTCGGACCTTTGCCTCGCGGTAAAGGCGGAGTCGCTTATATACTGGTCGCTGTGGATGTCTTTTTTAAGTACATAAAATTGTTTCCAACGAAGAAAGCCAACGCCGTCTCTACCTCCAACCGAATCCTCCAGGAATTGACTCGTCTTCTACCAATTAAACATATCCTAAGCGACCATGGTACCCAATTCAAGTCCAAGGTTTGGTAAGACCGTATGAAGGCCGCGGGGATTCATGTAAAATACGCATCCATCCATCCGTCACGCTAGCTCCAATCCGGCAGAGAGGTATATGAAGGAAATTGCCCGGATGCTCCGAACGTACTGCCACCAACAACAGAAAACTGGCCTGTTTCGTGCCAGACATAAAACACTGCCTCAATTCGACTCCCAACGCCAGCACCTGATTTTTCCGATAGAAATTTTAACCGGAATGCCGCCACAGCGATGTCTAGACACTGAACTGTCGAAATATCTAACGAAAAGAGAACGAGGTGAGGACGAGGTCCTCCGGGCGGTCCAGCAACGATTGGCAAAAATGGCGTCCAAAAGGCAGCGACAACAAAAGCGGCCGCAAGTTCATTTTCGACAAGATGATATGGTCCTGCTGCGAACGAAGACACAGTCAAATGCCGCTGAGGGGATAGCGCAGAAGGTAGCTATTATAAGCACAATTTCGTATATAATTTTTGAAACGTGTACTTCCATTTGGGATGTTTTAAAATATAATGTGTTACTAGTTCCATCAGAAGAGAAATGGTTGGCTATTGAAGCTAATTTTAGAAGTCGATGGAATCTGCCAAACTGTGTTGGTGCTGTAGATGGAAAACACGTTATTATACAGGTATCTTAAAACATCAAATTATACCATTGTATGTAGATAATATCGTTATGATGGTTCAGGCACCTCCCAATAGTGGATCTGCATATTATAATTGAATCGGTCATTTTGAAAAGGGGTCACATCCACTTTTTTGAAATTTTTATTTTTTGGTGATTTTACATTCAGCATGTCTAGAAGCATCCATTCAAGATAAAAACGGGTTATCTTTCAAAAATTTTACTGCCTATTCACACCACACAAAAATCAGTTCATTTAGAAAACGGGTTATATCCAGGAGGAGATATAACCCCTTCTCAAAATGAATCATGTTTTGTTCCCACCGCCAACGTTTTATTAAGTATTATGGATATTTTGTGGTTCGCGGATCGAATGATACAATCTATCCAGTAATCGTTTAGACCACAAAGGCCCTGACGATGATTGTGGCAGGGATTTTGGCAAAGTAAAAAGAAAAATTCGTCGCCTCGACCGGATTTTCTCTGTAGGAGAATATGAGGAATATGAAGTCTTGGCAAACAAGTTCCAAAAGAAGAGAAGGTTAATTTCACTATCAACTCCTTCTATAAATTCAGCTTTAACTCAGAAAATTTGGGTGTCGTCTTTGCCCAACCATACATTGGCAGCCTTGTTGAGGAACTTTATCTTCTTTTGAAAACTCCGACAATAGTGGTGCCCAGTCCTCAGAATTTTCCTGCCTATCAAGGCAAAATTCCGATAAATGATAAGAAAATTGAGGATATAAAGAAGCTTCAGCAATATATTCCAGATAAATACAAGGAATTTTACAGCACTATCTACGAATAGCCCACTACCACCGCTGAAGAAACGGAGAAAAATTAAAGATCTTGTTTTTTGTATTAAAATGTATTTTATACAACTTTGTTGTTTAAAATAAACAATATTTATATTCTATTTTGATTTTAAATACTTATTCATTTTGAAAACGGGCCATCTCTTTTTCAAAAAAGGTCAATTTTTAACCCCTTTTAAAATACAAATTATGCTTTTTAATAATTCATGTTATTAAAAGTTAATGTTTAAAGCAAACAATACATTACAAAAGATTATTTTCAAATAGAATTAAAGATAAAAGGTTTTTTATCTCTCCTGTAAAATTTAAGAAAGTGGATGTGACCCCTTTTCAAAATGACCGATTCAATTACAAAGGTACCTTTAGCATTGTGCTAATGGCAATGTGTGATTCAGATTATAAATTTACACTAATTGACATTGGAGCTACTGGGCGGCGGAGTGATGGAGGAATTTTTCGTCAAAGTGAGTTTGGTCAACGGCTTTTAAATAATACACTTAATCTGCCAGCACCAGCAGCGGTTGATGATAATTTTGATGACTTTCCATATTGTATAGTGGGGAATGAGGCCTTTCCTCTTTGTACAAACATAATGCGATCTTACCCTGGTCATTTTTTATCATTAGAAAAGCGAGTATTCAATTGCAGGTAAACTACTATATTACAGTGGAAATATTAATACATCAACTTTCATTTTTAGACTTAGTAGAGCTAGAAGAACGATAGAAAATGCATTTTGTATTTAGCCTTAAATTGGCGTATTTTCCGGAAACCAATTAAAGCCAAAATTTCAACAGTAGAAAGTATAATAATTCAAGCTACTGTTTGTTTGCATAACTGGTTGAAGATTATGGATAGTAATGTTTTCGAAAGGACATATTGTCATACTACGCTTGTAGACACAGAGGATGATTGGAGAAAGACAGCAGAGCCACCTAATAATTTATTAAGAATTAGACAGATTGGGGGAAATAACTACTCTAAAGATGCTGCTTCCATTAAGTCTCATTTGACGACTTATTTTATGTGTGAGGGGACTATTTAAAATCAGTGATATAAATAAAATTTGAAAAAAAATGTTTTTTATTTGATATTTATGTATCTATATTATATACACTTAATATAGGTGCCAAAAAACGAAAAATTGATAATTATGTTACAGAACACCTTGGAAAATCATACAATACGAAGCAAAGAAAGAGACGAAGAACGAAAACGTATATTATCATTACTTGAAAAAAAATCCGGTAATGAGAAAGAAGATGGTTTATACCAGTTTTTTATGGCAATGTACAATGATACCAAGAAAATGTCAAAAATATCTCAATTGTGAATTAGAAGGAAAATGTTTGAGGCTGTCCAGCTTGAAGAAGAAACAAATTTGATGTTGAATTTTTCCCAAACAAGTAGCGCGTCATTGCACCCACCACAACATCGTATAGGGTTACCTTTACCTAGCCCTTCATCACATGGTAGTTCTACATACGAACAATTATCAACAGCGCAGTCACCACCACAACTAAATTACGAACTACTTCGTCCATCTTCAGAGCAATCTTATGACATACAAGCAACTTCCAAAGAAGTATCTATTTCAAACTACTTTGAAAATTTTAGATATAATCAATATAGTTAATTTTTGTATAATCAAAATAGAAAATTTTTGTATAAAAGTGTTCATACCTCAAACATACTGCAAGTTTAATTTCAGTTTCGATAGGCTGTTGTGCGTTACAACCTATTCCTTGTATTTTAGTTTTAATTGTGTTATGTAGTTCTTGAAACTGTTCTTAATGCATAAATTTATGTCGAAAATACAATTACGCATGTACATGAAAGTAGGGTGCAAATCCAAACAAAAAAGATAGGTTAAGTGTTAAGTCATTGTGTTTTCGAGGTTTTGAGTCGTGTAATTTTATTTTATCATTAATAAAGAAATTTAAAAAAAAATAGACGCAGATAGGGCTCAATTAATTGAGCTGATTCAACAATTTCCACAATTGTGGAATAAAAAGGACAAATTATTCAACGACAAAAGAGCTATAGAAAATGCATAGTCAACATTATCCCAAATTATGAAATTTTTGAGTATGTTAATCCAGTACTTTTCTAAATATTTATATCTAATAATTTTGTATTTTAGTTGATGATTTCAAGGACGTGTGGAATTCAATAAGAACGTGTTTCATACGCGAAAGAAATATAGTCCGAAATCTACCTAGAGGTAGTGGTGGTTACTCTAGCAAATGGCCCTATTATGATCTGTGTGCATTTTTGGAAGGTGCAATAGTAATAAGAAAGTAAAATTAATTTTCTTTTATTAATCAATAAAGTTACCTGAATTCAGTAGAAAATTCTAGGGATAGGTTTGAAAATAATGTAAATATGTACAGGTTGTTGTAGTATATGTATATATAATTATATATAAATTATTAAATGTTTTACTTTTTTTAAAACAAAGGGGAATATTTTGAAAACAAATGAAGCAACTCCAACAAAGAGTCTATGGGATGCTAATTTAGTTTTAGAATATACTTCACAAGATTTTTCAACAATTAGTGAATAGAGGGAGAATATGGAAACCCAAGATCCTCTAGAAAATGTAACAACTTTAAAAACAAATGTAACCCAACCCTCAAGGTGAACCATGCTGAAAACGCCAAAAAAAAAACCAACTCACAAATCCCATGTAGTCTATAATGACAGACACATGCAATAGGCTGACAGAGTTCTTGGGAAAACCAGAGGACTTCGAAGATTACCATTTTGAAGTTTCTATTGGAAAATCATTAGAATCAATAAAAAACAGAAAAAGAAAATTACAGTTAAAAGCAAATATAATGCAAACAAAATGCAATTGTTGGCTGCGGCGGAAAGTGACAATGATTAATCCTATTTAGTGTTTTTTATTCCTATGGAGTTTATTTTTCATTTACAGTTTATTCTATTTTTAATTTAGATTTTTTATATAAAATGACTGAATTTATTTTTTAAAGTAGTTTATTACTAGTTTGGAGTTTCTTATTTTATTTGCAATTATTTATGTTTTTGAATTTATATTTATTTTTTTTTTGTATACTTTGGAGTGTTTATTTTATTTTTATTTCTGGATGTATGTAGATTAAAGTAAAGCAAATAATTGTGCCTACTTATTTTTAATTGTTCTTTTTAAACTGAGATTAACTTATAAATAATTACTATATTGGTACACTTCCCCGCAAAACGTGATTTTCCTGCCATGCCATGGAGGGCTTCCATTTGGGGACACGAAATATTCTGCCTGTCTCTATTATTTCTTATATTTTAAGCATAATTATTTGCCCCCAATCCAGCGGATATTTCCAAGTGAACCCATGCCATCTTGTCTCCAATTATCTGAGCGAATGTTGCACAAATTATCAATGTGATCAGCAAACCCCATAGGATAGTATTTACTTTCAGAGAACAGAACTCGATGGATGACTCAGGTTAAATAGGATGTTATGTAATTAAAATAAACTGGTTAGTCTTGTATGTGAGCGTTTCTCTGTAAACTGGGCAACTCGTTTTCTCAGGCCAATATATAAAAAGTATATAGATTTTGTGTATTTCGTAGTTAACTTTAACTGATAATTATCTAATATATGTGCTCAGCTTACAGTATCCCTTTTAATTAATTTTATTACTTTAAAAACGACTTTATATTGCTCAAAAAACAGTCCATCATAGCGTGTCACCAATACAATTTAGTTCGTTTAAGCTAAATTAATTAAAACAATAACTTCAGGAATCAATAAAATTGATTAATTAAACAATATTACATGATTTTTAATTACACCTGCTTATTTTTTATTAAAATATATTTATAAATTTAAAAAAGTATGTTAAAGTTTGTCTCAACATTTTGTGAACAGTCCATATTTTAAATTACGTACCACGTAATCTACAGGATAAACTGTTGTGTAAATATATGTGACAGAACGCAAGCAACCTGAAGTTTACCGGGTTGCCACCAGAATGGGGATGTCGTTTTGAGATCGATTAATCGGAAGATCGATCTTTTTTAGTAGAAGAATCGATCCGAGATCGATTCAACTACTCGGCGAATCGAAGCTGATTTTTTCTAAGATTTTTCTACTTTATTTAAGATTTTTACGATTCAGTTTTCGTTCTAACCTGATGCAACTTCTTTTACCCATTATGATTCATCCTGCTGTACGTAAGCAAACACGTAAATCCTAAACGGTAAGAGGCCAATAATTAATGACAAATGACAAGTAAGAAGAAAAAAGCAGAAAATAAATTAACCTAACCTGACCTAACCTCCATTTTTATTGCACGCACGCCGCACGGGAATTTTGTTTCGGCATTTTTGGTGGTTTTTGTTTTCATTTTGAGGAAAAATCAAATCGTAAGTATACTAGTAATTTTATTTGGTTATTGGGTGTATTGTTGGGGTAATGTTTGTTTGACATTTTTGAAAATCAATTACCAATTATTTACTGCTTAGTCAGTTCAGTAGCCTCCTTTAGGTAGTAGATAATTTAGTTATCATTATCAATATAATATAACTGTATAGGTAACAAACAACCTAACTTCAGGTTTCAACTAATGAACTACTAGTTTCAAGTTGAAACTTTTAACTACTGAAATGTCCAAGAAAAGCGAAATTTGGATTAATTTAATCAAAAATGAGAATGGTGGTAGGTGCAAAAATTGTCAAGTAGATGTTAAAAGGCAACACTACAAACCTCAAAAATCATTTATTTAGAATACGTGCACATATTGGAAAATTATTCGGAAAGTCTTCGGGAGAAGTAACAAAATTAACTTCTGGTGGTGGTAGACGTCGTAGCAAAAGTGAATGTAAATATGTTAGTATTTTTATGTATTTGTAGTTCAATGAACGTAATTTGTTTACATTAGTGCATGAAACTCAATCTCTATTAAATTCTTATTGCTGTTGTTTTTCTCATTGAAGTTATTATCTGATATTTTATACGTGTTGTTTTTTATGAGCCACAAAATATATTACTTCAAAAAGAAGATATATCGGATTCTTTGTCTACCTGTAGCAGCTTTGTATCGACAGTAGCTACTACTAATACTAAACATACACAACCGGGAATAGAAACTTGTCTAAGTAATATAAAAGATTATAAAGGTATATCATGATTCTGTTTTTGTTTATTCGTGGTGATAACTTTTTTTTATTTCAGACGGAGGAAACAAAGCCGGAAAGATTTATAATGCTATCTTTTATATGTTGGCAAAAGACACTTTGCCACTAAATACTGTTGAAAAAGAGGGATTCAAGAATCTTATGAAAGTTACCGTTCCCCTTTATAAGATTCCTGGGCGATCAAAAATGACAAATATGGTAGACGAAAAATATAATATTCTTTCATATAAAATGAAAGAAATAATTAAAAATGTGACAAATATTTCTCTTAGTACCGATGTGTGGACTGATACCCTCAACACCAGGAGCTTTTTAGGTCTAACATGTCATTTTATTCATGGAAATGATTTAAAATCGGTGTCAATCGGTGTAACAGAGTTAAACCAAAGTCTATCTAGAATCCGTATTGAAGAGTTTATGTGACACATGGATCATTAATGATCAGAAAATTGTTGCTGTAGTGACAGACAATGGCACGAATATAAAAAAGCAGTTATCGACGCTTTTGGAAAAACCAAGCATCTTCCATGTTTTGGTCACACTATCAACTTGGTAGCTGCTAAACCATTTTATAGCAGTACTGATATTAAAGAGTTCGTTACTCAAATCAAAGACATTGTACGATACTTTAAACATAGTGTGGCAGCCTCAGATGAATTGAGAAAGTGCCAAGATATGAGACAAGCTCCCTTGAAACTCATACAATCTGTAAGTACAAGATGGAATTCGATGTTTTATATGATTGAGAGATTTGTAAATCTTTCGGAACTACTTAAAAACTCAAGTGCACCACCTATGTTAACTGCAAGTCAGCTAGAAACTGCCCGGGACTTAATAACAATACTCAAAGCCTTGGAAAGTATTACCAGAGAACTTTCAGGAGCAAAGGTAACTGTAAGCAAGGTAATACCAAAAATGTATTGCTTACGAAAGGAAATAAATTCTGTGCTGACCAAATCACCATTAGGAGAAGGTACTAAAAAAATACTTTTGGAGGAAATATCCAGGAGATTTGGATCAATTGAATAAGTAACAAGTTTAGCTATTTCGACTGTGTCAGATCCCCGTTTCAAAAAAAATTATTTCGAAGATAAAATTGCTTGTTCTCATGCAGTGACAAAAATTATGAATACTCTTTCCGAAATGAAAGATGACAACGCAATATTTGAAGAGGATGAAGTACCTGACGAAGTAGATACACCTGGGAAAGAAGCTGTTAGTTTATGGAGGCACCATGATACTTTAATTAAAGAGAACCGGCCACAAGTGCACAGTAATGACAAAGCTGCTGACATGACTTTTTATTTAAACCAACCATTAGAAGATTTGAAAAAAACAAACCCCATTAAATTTTGGAAATCCCAAATGTTTGTGAACCTTCGTAAAATAGCTGTACGATACTTCTGTAGTACTGCTACATCAGTACCATCAGAAAGGCTTTTTTCAGGAGCAGGCTAAATCCTAACCGAAGACAGAAGCAGGCTGATTCCTGAAAGATTTGATAGGCTGTTGTTTTTAAACTGTTTGAAGAGAGAAGATTGGTGTTTAGATTAAAATAAACAATAAAGTAAACTTAAATTGTGTTAATTTTTTACAAGCTACAACAAAAAAAAATCGAAAAATCGAATTTTCATAGATCGATTTTAATATTAAAGATCTTTTAGTGGATCGATTTTTAAAAGTGCGATCGATCGATCCAAAAAATCGATTTTTTTTTGAAAAATCGACATCCCTACACCAGAAGCGCCCGGACAGACTAGCGGCTGGAACCTGCTCCATCACTTGTCAACTATTTTCTGCCAAAGCCAAAGATCTTGCGCGCGCATCGGTGGTTGCGGTTAGTTTCTTTCTTTTCGAATTCGAACTATACGGAAGTTTTCTCCCTGAACTACGAAATACGGTTTAGAAGACGGTTGTTTAAAGTATGTTTTGTTTCTTGATTTTGTTAAATTGTCGTAATATGTAAGTTATGTAGAGGTTGTGTGTTAATTTTATAGACGGTTGTGCTTTCTTAAACAATGAATCCAAACAATATTACAATTTTTGTAAACATTTTTCTGATCATAATGTTGAAATTAACCTTGAACAATTTGAATTTTCATCCCAAGAAGAATTTGAAAATTGGAAAAAATCAGTAGAATATAATTTAATTTCAAGGTACATAAGTGTGCGAGGAGGGAAGAAATATAAAACTCATACGACCTATAGATATGTATGTCATAAATCTGGAAAATTAACGCGGGACGAAAGAAAGCTCACTTTCATTTTCTTCAGACGAACAAGCAACATAAAAAATCAAATTTAAAAAAGCCGGTAATCGCCGTAATCAATACAAGTGTTTGCGATTTCATTTGTCTTAAAAGATAAACTATTTACAGTTAAATAGTGGCAACCTCGAGCGACATCATCTGTTATGGTTATAGTATTATGGCTATTTTAAGGTTATAGGTAAAATTGTTTGTTGTCAGCATTTTTAAAACTTTTTTGTGAGTTACTAAAAAATAACGTTACCCAAACTAGAACATAAACTAGGCCCTTGTATATCCGGGCCAATAGTCATCGATGAACAGCCTAATGTCAAAACATTTTTGTATAGTGAATCTATAAGTATCAGCATAGATATTTCTCCAGCAGTAAAGACTCCCTTTATATCTAGTAGTTTGGAAGAAATAAAACAATTTTTTAAATATTATTGACATTTAGACACTGACACTAACACCACTAGTGACAATACTGACTGCGACGCTATCATAGATGGTACTCCACAGTTATAAATATGATAGAGAATCTATAGCGAGCACAAAATCACTAAAAGTTTGAATTTTGTTTCCGAACAGTTAACCATGATATTAAGTTCTATTTTATATACTATAAGCCCTCACAAATATTTATGGGATTATGGGCCACTTATTTTACCCTACTCCCAAACTAAAAAGGGTGTATGTAATAAATTTTTGACATATCCGGATATCGATGAAAGAAACACTTTCCATAACTACGCTCATAATTTTTTTCAGTTTTTGACAGAAAAAGACAAATATGTCACTCACATTGACCAATATTTAGACTCTAAAGGGGGTAACACTGTAAGAACTTTTGTAAATAATAACACTTTAACTTCCTTCGCTTTCACATTTATGATATGCAGTATGTGCTCAAATTTTAAGGAAGTTATTCACGTGTTACCTCTCTCAAAAATACATGCTAAAATGCTTTACACTTTTATTAAGACCATAATTGAAAAGTTGGAGGAAATTGGATATATAGTTTTTGTATCATTAGTGACAATAACGCTATAAATGGAAAAGCAATGGCCCATTTCTTACCTTATGACGAACTTAGCATTGCTTTTCCACATCCCATTGACCCAGTAAGGACTTTATTTTTTATTTGATTCGTTTAAAGTGTATTTTCACAAATTGGCTAAATTCTAAACCAGGCCAGACTTTTATTTATCCTGATTTTGAGACCGGACAAGAGAAATGTGTCTAATTCTTTGCAGTAAAAAGACTCCATGAACTTGAACGCGACAAACTACTAAAATTTGGCTACTCATTAAATTTAAAAGCTCTATTTCCCACAAGTTTTGAAAGGCAAAAGTTAAATTATCTTTGAAAATTTTTAACCCGTTTGTGGTGGAAGCTTTAAATCAGTTTGGAAATAACGTCCCACATTTACATAAGACTGCAGATTTTATTAAGACAGTATTAACGTGGTGGTCAATTGTAAATGTAAAAACACCTTAGGAAGGAAAGCACATGAGATATTTATCAAGAGCCACGTTAAAAAAAGTTTTTCAGATTCTGAGCTTGATCCAAAATTAATATTTCTAAGCAAAATGCTAAATTGGTTAGATGTTTGGCAAGATTTTATAATATCAAGATTAACACATTCTACCTTAGCAACATACCATACATGGAATGATTAAAATTAGAAAATATTGCTTAACAGATCTTAATATGAATTATGTTTTATTAGAGAAATATCAGACTGATTCGCTAGAAGATCCATTTGGTAAATATAGACAGCTAGCTGGTGACCACTATCATATTTCAATCCCACAACTTTACGAATTTTAAAATCTAGTAAATTTGAAGAACTTAATATTGACCAGTTTCATTAACCTTTTGAAGATCGACTTAGGTGAACCCCTCGAACAAGATAGTTCGGCATCTAAAGACCACGACCTTGTCAAAATAACGGTGACTGAAACAGATTTTGACCAAGTTAAAGACGAAATGGCAGTAATAACTTACTTGGTTATATAGTATTAATTGCATATATTTTATTTACAAAAATTGTTAACCACTATGAAGATCAGTTCTTGGACGTTTTTAATAGGAAACTATTTTTTGTAACCTAATATTGCAGTATTTAATTCAAGGGAGTCAAAATCATAAACCCGAAAGCATTTCACAAATTATTCTTAGTAGTGTTTCAAATACATTAATTAAAAATTATTATGGCAAAAGAAATAACTTTGGCAAAAATAAAAAAAGGAAATTAGCTACTGTGGCCAAATAAAATATTTACATCTGGATAATCATCTACCTATTGTTACATTTTTGTACCGATTTTGACATTATTATTACCTACCTATTATGACTTTTTCATACCATTTGTTCAGTAGAGTTCGTATAAAGTTTAAGACGTGACAACGTCGCTTTTCATATTTTGTGATTTCTGTACACTCGGTACAAACGTAGTTGTTAATTAAGACTCGGTCGATATAGATTTGATTATTGAAAACCGGCTATACAATTAATTCGGTATTTTTGATATTATAATAATTATATTATATTATAATAATTAATATAATTTTTCTTTCCTTAACCCTATCCCAAAGTGCCCATCAATAACTTTGGATACGACCGTCAAGAATATCGGTAAGTAATTGTATGGATTTATTTAGCCCATAAGGCAATTTTCCGTAACATTTTTATGAATTAAAGTAGGAACGGAACCTACTTGAGTAAACATTTCCTTAGAGTTTTTAAAACTGTTAGGCGGACGCCGACAAAGACTACAAATATATATATATATATATATATATATATATATATATATATATATATATATATATATATATATATATATAGCGCCTTAGTATCTTCTTGAACCAATCGTCTATATCCGACGAGAACATCCTGAACCATCCAAACAAACCTGAGCCGTATATGTGGTTCAGGATGGGAGACCCTTATAAAACACTTTAAAATACCCTGTAAACTGCCTGGAATAAATTTGAAAATGGCTCAGATTTGGACGAAACTCCAATCTTTAGTTCCAACATTTTCCGCATTCTGGGATGGTGGCGCTCTAGTCGCCTCGATTTGTATATCTGTATAACAACAATCCTGAACCATCGCTTGTATGCAGCCGTAGCGGAATATTATTAGATTCTTTCAGCGGCTTACAATATTTGAACACGTTAGTGACCAAATCGGTCCATATAGACCTGCGGTAACATTGTACAAGTACAAGACCATGGCGGTCCTTAGGGATCGCCTTAAAAAGTTTTGACCCTTTCGTAAAATAATTCGTGCCGCTTATTAGTAGATACTTTCATAGAAAATGGACCGCTTATCCTGTAGATTTTGTCATAAAAAATAGACTGCTTTGTCTTTTAGGTTGTAATTATAAAAAAAAATATAAAATACTAAAAATAACCGAAATTATTATAATCTACCAAAAAAAGGATACAATATGTCACGTAAAATGCTTCTGCGTGAATGTGTTGAAATCCGTAGCGGAATTTAATATAATAGAAAATAATACATTGTGTAGTATGTATACATATACTCTTTACTATTTGTACCGCTTATTGCTTATTTCAAAGACGAAATCTGTCATCTAAATATATAAAATAGTTAGTCCTGACGGACTAGCTGATCTATCAATGTAGAGCCAAAACTACCAAGTCTAGAAAGCTGAAATTTAAAACATAGATTTATTTAATAACATAAATATCCCCTAAGAAAATATTTTTGTAGACTTCAAATTTAAGAAGGGAAAACTTTTTATAAAAGTAGGTAACTTGTTCTTTAAAGTTAAAAACATTAAAATTTGAATTACAACTTAATTAATAGTGACATATTTCAGGGTTTTGGGTTTTCACATTTTAAAAGCAAAACGGAAGGAAGGGAAAGTTTGAATAGAAGTATCGATTTTTTAGGTAGGAACTTGCAAATTGGAATTGGTACCACTCATCATAAATAATGATGTGTATAGGGGTTTTTTGTATTCAAGGGGAAAGTGTGGGGTGAAAGTTTGTATGGGAATAACGTAAAAATAATAATAAAAATAAATTATTAAAAATTAATAAAAATAAATAAAAATAAATAAAAATAAATAAAAATAAATAAAAATAAATAAAAATAAATAAAAATAAATAAAAATAAATAAAAATAAATAAAAATAAATAAAAATAAATAAAAATAAATAAAAATAAATAAAAA